GATAAAAAGTAGAATCTTTAATCACTTGTAATTTGACACCCAATGACGTCATCATGACATCAGAGTAATATGCACCACTCTGGTAAATATTGTAAATGTCAACCCATTTATGCTGTTTGTATACAATTTTTTGGTTAAAAAACTAATAAACCAGAATAATAATAATAGGCCTAATTTTTTTGCGGTGTATAAACTTTTTGTCACAAATAGTCATGAAATTTGTAGCGACGTCCTGAATTTTTGTCACTATTCGTGATTTTTTTGGATCCGTAATATTTTAACTGGACTTGAATTTTTTCGTGACGTCCTGAATTTTTTTGGTCACAAAATGCAACAAAATTCATGACTGATTTTGGAGAAAAAAAATCAGGACGTCACAAAACAAATTTACGACTAGTGAAAAGAATTCACAACATCATGAATTAGGGTTTTTTTTACTACCAATCATAAATTTTGACATCGTTAATTTTGTTTATACTAGAATTAAAACCAAAAAAATCACGGTGTCGCAAAACAGTTTACCGCTAGTCTGGGAAAAATTACAATATTTTCAAAGTATTTCACAACTAGTGAGAAATTCACGGTGGCCAATAAAATTCACACTGCTTTGAAAAAAATTACGACTTGTCGTTAAAAAGTTCACTACATCGCAAAAAAAATTAAGACTGGTTTGTCCCCTTCATGGCCAACATATGTTGGTCAGACATCCTTAAAAAAAAATATGATATTCACTCGCCTAAAAGATAATGTTGCTGTAAAAAAAAGGGTGAAAAATGTGCTCCTTTGTTCCACATCTGGACTGGTTGGCAAGAGGCCAATTGTTTTAGATGACCCCAAAGGGTAAAACGAAAAGTCCAAATAATTTGGCCAATCGTTCAGAGCAAATGGTGGTGAACCATCTATATTATGATGCCGCCCCTAACTTCTTACAGTGCTGATTTTGACCTCTTTCATGAAGGCCATGTTTGCTTAGTCATCCATGACAATGATGTAATGAAATTAAAATGATTTGGATAGAGGACATCATGGCCTTTTTTTCCTAGTAGTTGCCTCTTTTCAAAATATTCCATACATTTCTGATAATTTACATTTAAAATTAGTATCTTTTTTTTTTAACACCTAGTCTTGGCTCAAGACATTAGTTTCAGTAGCGAAAGTTGCATTGTTGTGGCGCGCCCTTACATAATTGTTTTTTTTACTTTCACTAACATCTAGGTCATTTCGTAGCAATGGGGGCGTGGCCATTTAATGAAAGTAAAACCGTCAGTGTATATTATTAATAAATTCGAACAAAACAGCAGTTCCCATTTGATACCACAGAAGTCGCTCTCGCACAGGGGTATTATATCACTGCCTTGCATAATTTAGCAATGAGGCTTGATCACCGCAGCAGCATGTATGTTAAAGGGAATATACAACATTTGCAAACATCGAAAAATAAAACTATCAAGTTTTTGCGAAATACCTTAACAGGATGTTGGTAAATGACAGTCTAAAGCATCCTGTAAAATTATGGCACCTGGTATACTGTCATTTTCAAGAAAAGTGGTATTTTTGTATCAATTTCCAACGCTGATCGGCCGATCAGCGTTGGAAACAACTGGCTTTTTTTCAAATACTGGCCCCAATTGACCATTGCACTTGTTTGCAATCGATTACAAACCTATAAACGGGTACGAGCCAGCTAGACTGGTTCCCTGACCTTACAATTCCCCCAATGTATGTAAACTGCTCTGTTTCTTCTTATATGGAGTCAGGGAACCAGACTACAGGAAAATGATCGTTTTTCTTGGTTTTTATAGCATTTTCGAACCCAAAACCTCCAAAAAGTTAGTGTAACTATATTTGCTTTATATTTCCAACCCCCCAATTCCACCCATTTCTGAAAATTACCACAAAAGCAAATGATGTATATTCCCTTTAACAACCATCGCGCGAGCATGCGCTCGCTGATTGGTTCCCTAGGAAAGCCTAGGGAGAAAATAAGGAAAAATTTAAACCGCTGATATGAAATGGCCAAGATGTTAGTGCGAGTATATAGGCGCTGGTCTAATTGTTGTGCCATTAGAGGGCGCACTATGCACGATCCACTATCGATCACTAGCATCTCTAGAAGTTAGAATTCCATAAAAGAAATTGTTTTTAAGATATTTAAGATATTTTCTCTTATGAGGAAGTATCTTCTTTAAAAATGTTGAATTTAAAACAAAATCTTACCAGAATACAAACTTTAACGAGAGGTTCGCGTTTGTTGTTACAAACGCAGAGTGGTCGGGCATGCAATTTGTTCATGAAACACTGCCGAGTTAAGTTATGATTATGTTTATGTAACAACAAAGGATCACAAAATTAAATCCTTTCCATTACAGTGAATTGTTTTGTTGAAAAATGCATCTTTAACGGTGTGCTAAATTTCCGTAAACATTGTATGTACACATACAAGTTATATGTGGCTTGATGACGTCATTATTAAAAAAAAATGGGAAATGAAAACTGATTTAGTTCGGAGTGGATAAATAATTATTGTGAAGTTAAATAACGTATGCAAATATGGAAAATATAACTATGTATTTATAACACCTAACTTCAGGTTTCATGACGTCACTAGTATTTGGAAGCAAAAGGTTAACATTAATTGTTATGGTATCGTTATTTGGGCTACGAAGATATACGACATGGATCAAATGATAGAATTCAATATAAAATATGTTAATTTTCAAATTCTCATCGACTTTCCGGTCTGATGACGTCATGAATTTGAAACCTTGCTAAGTTATCTGTGGTTAATCAAAGAATATCAAGGGGCGATTTGGTAAAATTGGAACAGATGTTTTTCAGATTAAAGAAAACAACACAATTTTATGTGCCGCTAGGTGGCGCCCTTTCAGATTATGACATCATCACACTGTTTTTTGTGACTTGCATTTCTCACTAAACACTTGCATAATATTTATTTCTGTAGTAAAATGCTTCCGCTTTTGCGTTATATTCAGTTTTCATTGCACTTCCGGTAACACCGGAAGTAAAGGTCAAGCGGTTTTGTGTCCGCGAACAAAAAATGTTTCTCACGGCATAGTCTACAACCTCACGAAAAAATGAACACGATACTCTATTTAGTTCAAAAGATATAGCGCAAACTGTTTTGTCAAAAATTTTCCCTTAAATCGCTTGTAATTTGATACCTGATGACGTCATAACAACGTAACAAAATGTATAACATCTTCGTAACATGGTACAAGTTCACACAAATTGTTGTGATGGTACCGTAAACCGTTTGAAAGAAAATTTGCTTTGTTTTGATTGCAGGCTAACGTCTTCATTTTGAATTCACCTAACTTTGACCTTCCGGTAGACCCGGAAGTAAAGGTCAAGCAATTTTACGTACTGGACAAAAAAATGTTAAGCAATTAATGGTCTATCTCAATGCACAATACAAACGTCATTGATTATTTAGTTCAAGAGTTATACGTGAAAGTAATTGGTCACTTTTCCACCTAAAACCACTTGTAATTTGACACCTGATGACGTAATCATGACGTCAGAGTAATAAGCACCACTTAGGATGAGAGTAGATATGTATTGAAAGTTACAAGTTCCTATCATAAACCGTTTAGGAGAAACCCGCGGAAATGTGCTGTACGGAAAAAAAAAGAAAGAAAGAAAGAAAGACAGATTAATCACAACAGATCCAAAAAGTGGTCGGGTTGTGCCCGACCACTCAATAATAAAACAATTTGGCAAACCGATATTTTCATAATATGAAAAATATTTATCATTTTGCTGGAGCCTCTTACACTCTGTTTTTTTTTTTAGAAACAGTCAGAGGCAATGTCGTCACTGAAGTGAGGTAATCTAATTCAGGCAATTCACAAAGCGGTGCCCCACCAAGAGTTTGCCATGGAGAGTAAATTTTTCAACTTTATGGTCGACAAAACATGGTCCATTTGAAGGATATTCAGTTGACAACTTGAGTTAATTTGTTATAGATTGGGGCATAGCATTCTGCCACCTTACATAAACACCGTATTGATACAAAGAAAAGAAAAGGGCAAACATATATACATGAGCATGTACTCGAATCATACGCTTACAAAACTACATGCCGGAAAAACTTACAATTTCAAATGTCCTGCGCTACGAATTTGTCGACCATCTCCCACTCTTGGTGGCGCACTACATTGTGAATCGCCAAAGTTCATGAGCCGATAATGAGGACCAAAAAGGGGGGCAAAGTTTTTTTTTAAGGAAATGGAAAGCATTAGAACCTCATAACTGCTAATAGTAGTGTTACTGTCTCCCACTATAACATATTTTATGAATGAAAACTATTTGTCATGTGGTGGGCCCCATAAGTCGTTGAGGGCGCCTTGTGGGCAGCCGGTGTAAAAATTTTGCTCTCTTTCTAGTGTCGCTTTTTATGTGTTTTATGACTTTTTAAAATCTATTTTAGTACTCTATTTGCTGTTACGTGAAGCTCTGTACCTGAGGAAGTGATTGTATCATAAAGTTGAGTGAGTGTTTGCTGAATATCTGGATTTTTGCAACATTTTCGACAACTTGAAGTGTCCCAAGGTGCATGCCGTCCCACGTTACGGACCAGTGCCTACGGTATTTCTCCAGACAATAAAAGAACAATGATGTGGAATTCCAAGACAAAGCGTATCTGGCTTTTTTAGCCATACTGTTTGTATACGAGTATGGCTTCTTCAACAGCATGTCAAGTCTACAAACTGTCTACAAGACCCAACTGAATCCCACCTTCAGGCGCCGGCTCTTTGGATCCCAACTGTTATATTACAACAATGCAAGTGCAACATTCCGCCAACAGTTACTAGTATGCGGCGATATCAACCCAAACCCTGGACCTGAACCTCGTAACAAACCTAACCATGACCAAACAACGACATTGACTTCAACCAGAATCCAGTATTCGAGAAGTGAACTACTGAACTTCAGTAACGTCAGCCACCTACTTTCAGGGTCCGAGTGGGCAACGTTGAAGGCCTTAAACATCTGCAAGATACAACCCACCCGAAGAGGATGCCGTGCCGGAGTAAAAACCAAAGGTCAACACATTCCAGTGATCGCCCGTCCCAGACAACACCATGGTGAAAACACGGTCAGAAGGACCGCATCCAATCTGGTAAACATTGATATTTCTGTCACACCGGTAACTGAACCTAAGTTGTACACCTCCCTTCGGTCATGTTACTAAATGCCAGATCCCTTGTTCAACACATAGATGAACTTCAGATAATGTTGAAGGCCAATAATATTGATGTAGCGGCCGTCACAGAGACTTGGTTCCCGCCCGATGTTGAGAGTAGCTACTTCTCATTTCCACATTACAAACTGTATAGCAAACCTAGGGAAAACAAACGAGGAGGAGGCATAGCTTTATATATACGTGAAAACATCCCAACCAGGCAATTGTCGGAAATCGATGTGCCGAATGAACTTGAGACATTATGGGTGTGGGTGCGACCGAGTCGCCTACCCAGATCAACCACAGGCGTAATTCTTTGAGTAGTTTATCACCCTCCAGCTTCACCGTACGATGCAGAACTGGCAGATCACTTATCTACATCACTACTAGACATCTTGCACAACAAGTATCCTGCTGCGGGTGTCATCTTGTTAGGGGACTTTAACAAGTTTGACACCAATAATCTTTGACAAACCTACAAGAGGGCAAGCAACTTAGGGCAAGCAACTTTGGACAAGATTATATCCAATATTGACCAACACTACATCCAACCACAGATATCAACCCCTATTGGCTTGAGTGATCACAATTCTGTGTTATGGTTCCCTAAAGTGTATCAGGATCATCGAAACATCACTTTTCGCAGAGTTGTGCGGCCAGTAAAGAACTCGGATAAATTGGCATTTGGCTGATGGATAACTGATCATGATTGGAGAGAGGTAACGTCAGCTGAATCACCAAATCACAAGACTGATGCATTCTATGAAACCCTTCTAGCAGCAATGGATCGATTTTTCCCAACAAAAACAGTTTCCGTCCACGCTGAAGACCAACCATGGATGAATCCCGAGCTCAAGGCACTCGTCATTAAAAGACAAAAAGCATTTTCGGATGGCAAAACTTACCTTTGGAGATTCCTGCGAAACAAGGTTTCAAGACTTATAAAACAATCGAAACGAGCGTGAGACACCTTAAATGTTCTAACCCCAGAGATTGGCATAAAGAAATCAAGAAACTAACCGGTCTGAATAAAAAAACAAAGATTAATTTACCTGAGTCTGCAAAGTATTCTGGGATAGAGATTGCTTCGCAGATCAACGAACATTTTCTGTCTGTTGCAAGTGATATCCCCTGTCTGGATTCCAGTAGTCTACCGGCATACTTACCACCAGATACTCCAGTGCCAACCGTGTCTCCACAAGATGTGTATTATAAACTGAAGAAGGTGAAACTGTACAAGAGTGGTGGTCCGGACTCAATCCCATCATGGCTGATTAAAGAGTTCGCCTATGAACTGTGCTTTCCTTTGTCTAACATTTTTAATTGTTCATTGAGTGAAGGTATTGTTCCGGGGATATGGAAATCTGCTTATGTTGTGCCAGTGCCGAAATGCCAACCCCACACAATACCTAATCTCCGGCCTATCTCCCTTACTTGTGTCTTTGCGAAAATCTTTGAAGACTTTGTAACAAGCTGGATCAAAACTGATATCAATTGTTCTTTGGACAAACAACAGTTCGGCTCCCTTAAGGATACCTCAACCACTCATAACATGATAAAACTGTTAGATAAAGTATACAGTGATACTGACATATCAAAAAACTCTACTGTAATTGTTGCAACAGATTTTTCCAAAGCATTTGATCGTGTTGACCATAACATTGTCATTTCCAAATTCATAAGTTTAGGTGTTCGACGATCCATTATTCCTTGGATATGTAGCTTTTTGTCTTATCGTACCCAAGCTGTTTGTTACCAAAATTAACTATCCGAATGGCGGTCAATACATGCAGGCATTCCACAAGGTACTAAACTAGGGCCTGTTGCTTTCTTGGCTATGATTAACGATGCTGGATCCAATTCACCTGAAGTTATGCATTATAAATATGTGGATGGCTTAACATTGTGTCAGACTTTCAGTGACGTAAATCAATCCAGCTCGATGCAAATTGAACTTGACTGGTTAAATCAATGGGCTTTTGATAATAATATGAAATTAAACCCCACTAAATGCCAGGCTATGACTGTGTGTTTTAAGAAGAATCCAATCTACCCTCCTGATCTTCAAATAGGTGCCTCAGTCCTTGGTCAATCAAATTGTTTGAAAATTCTTGGTGTTTACATTCAAAACAATCTGAGATGGGACACCCAGGTGACTACTATGTGCAATTCCTTTAACCGCAGACTGTACTTCTTACGCCAACTTAAACGCTGTGGTCTACCCATTGATGACTTGGTCACTGTTTACATGCAGTACGTAAGACCCACTGCTGAGTATGCATGTCCTGTTTGGCATTCTGGATTGACAAAGGAACAAAAGGAATCGCTCGAAAAATTACCAAAAAAAAGCATTTCGCACAATCCTTTCCATTAATGTTTGCGAGCACGTTCCCTATGACCTTATGTCTAATAGGATACAAATCCCCTCTCTCCAGGAAAGACGTGATCATCTCTGTTTAAAGTTTGGTAAAAACCTTCTCTCATCTCATAAATACCGTGACTGGCTACCACCCAAAAGATCGAACAACCTCCGCAATACCAACACCCTGTCAATCCCTCGATGTCGAACCAACCGATACAAGAATAGTGCAATCCCATTTTTAACCAATCTTCTTAATGAACAACTAAGCTCTACGTCTCACACCCTGGTTTGATAGTTATCTTCATTTATTTACTGTTTATCGTTATCTGAGCAATCCATTTCTCCATGTTTGTTTTCCCAACTGTTTTTAATCAACTGTTTTTAGTCATTTTTTTTGTAAATTTGTTTTATTGTGTACCCACCATTCTTGTTGTTACATGCATTATGTTTTAACTCTCATTATAATTTTTTCCCGGTCTTCTAATTATTTTTATTGTAATACATACAGTTTTTACCTCTGTCTATTTTTAAAATGTTTTCCAATGTAAACCTGCCCACAATTCAGCCTTCGGGCTGCGACGGGAGAGTAAAATAAACCATTTAATAAATAATAATAATAATAAAGTCAGGTGATGTCCAGCCCCCCCCTCCACTGTACCTTCCCACACGTAGTGGTCTGTCAGCGAATATGTTGTCACATTCCAACTCCCCCCCCCAAAAAAAAAAAACAAAAAAAAAACAAAAACAAAAACAAAAACAAAACAAACCCAGACAAAATGTACTTTATAGATACCAATGTTTATGATTGTACGCTGCCTGTCCTCCACTTCAGGAGTCACCCGCTTTTGCAGGTTGGTTGTGCACTTTGCGGGCATCACCTGAGGGTGATCAACCTGTGAACACACATACACCCAATCTTGTTCTGTAACTGTGGGGACTACACACGTGTTGTCCCAAGAGTGGACCGAAGATGCTATGGGGACAGCAGAATGTCCCAATAACTCGGTCCTTATTTCCCTAACAATAAAAAACTTCCCCATGACGCGGTGACGACCTGCCCACACAGGATTGTTTGTGGTGTAAATCAAGGATTTTTATTGTTCCTCATCATCGATCTTTTTGTATACTCTACCTTGTTTGCAACAGCTCTCATCGATTTTGTACACGTTTTCTAATCGAGGTCGTCCTCCATTTGACTCCTGCCCTCAATTACTAGATGATGCTTCACATGCATGTCCTCGATTTACACCATAAACATGCACACGTACGTACACAACCTCAACTGAAAAATACGGTGTTGGAAAATACCAAATGAGTTTAGAGAGGGTTGGAGGAGTACTTTGCATAATTTACAGTCACATGAATAATTGTTGTCACTGAAATGCATGTTTATATATTGCAGCCTGGTAGCTTTGGCTTTCTCGGCTTCAATTGGAATACTTCTCGTGGTCCTGTCATGTGCTCTGCCAACATGGAGTCAGTAAGTATTTGCATGGGCTTTGATCTTTGAGGAATAACTCTCACAAAGCATTTTCTCCCATTTCCTACATTTAGTCAGGTGGCTTAGATTTAATTTTCGTCAAGATCGTGACCGACTGGTCCAAAGCACCAAACTTGGCAGGTAGATTCTTATAGACCTAGAGAAGATATTTAGAAGGGGTGACACCTGAAATTCTTTTGGGAAGGGTGCCTAATTTGCATAAATCGTTAATCCCTGTCGTGTAATATATTTATTCCCATATTTGGGTATATTTCAATTTTTTTTATTTTTTGAAAAGTGTATTTTGGGGATTCTACTTACATATCTTTACTTAAATAACATTTTCCAAAGGATATAAGTGACTGAATAATTATGAGGACATAGAAACGATCCAAAATGGCTACTATTTTCCCCTAAAATTGCGCGCATTTACCTTGTCTCCAGATATCATCAATTAGTCTTGCCAAACATTAGCATTGATGAACTTCAAATACACCAAGTAGCTTACTGGTACAGCTACCCTATTAAAACCTTATGCAAAATCATGTGAACAATGATAACATTGTGATATTAAGCCCAGAAAACAAAAACTGGGAAAAAACGAGGTGTCCATAAATTAGGCTAACAAGTAGGTGAAGGTTGCCTAACATTGAACACTGGTACAAGTTCAAGGAAATTCCCCTACTTATTGTTGAGAAAACGTTTTGGCGTAGACAAAATTATTGTAAACAACAATAATCTCTTATTTATGGGGATTTTGTTGAACTTGTTTAAGTCCCCACGTTACCCTTCCCGTACTAGCCCAATTTACGGACACCACATTTTCTCCCCTTTTTCGGTCTTTTGGGCTAAACATCAAGATGTTATCAATTTTCACTTGATTTCCCACTTATTTTTGTTAGGGTAGCTATGCCAGTAAGTAACTTTGTTAATTTGAAGCTCATCAATACCAACTTTTGGCGAGACTAGTTGATGATATCCGAGGAAAAGGTAAATGCGCGTAACTTTAGGGTAAAATAGTAGCAATTTTGGTTCTTTACTATGTCCTCCTAATTATTCAGTCACTTATATGTCTTACAAAATGTTATTTAAGTAAGAATATGCAAGTAGAATCACGAAAATACACTTTTCAAAAAATAAAAAAAATAAAATATACCCAAATATGGGAATATATATATTACACGGCAGGGATTAACGATTTATGCAAATTAGGCACCCTTCCCAAAAGAATTTCAGGTGTCACCCCTTCTAAATATCTTCTCTAGGGCTATAAGAATCTATCTGCCAAGTTTGGTGCTTTGGACCAGTCGGTCACGATTCCGACCACATGCCACCTGACTAATTAAGATGATTGCGGACTAGCGCACGGGTAACCCCATGCCATAGTATACAAATGCAACATGGTTTGTCGGGAAATAATGAAAACTAATGACCCCAAGGTGTTGGATGATTGGGGCTACTATTTCCCCGCAAAAAAAAATGTTGTAATTGTGTTACTATACCTCATAAATATTCATCAGGCAGCTGTGGTACTTCATTCGTCCATTCCACCATGTTTTTGATTGTGCAGTATTTGGATAAAGTGAAACATTATTCGAATTTAAGGGAGCTCCAACGTGGTTTGACCGATCGTTAGTTACAAGCAAAACATCAAGCTCTTCTGCCTACTTTACACATCAATGCAGCTGCCTAACAAACGGCCCCATTGTTATTGAAATACGTTCATAATGTGTTGACCGCGGTCATGTGTGCCTACGAACTTCTTACGATTAAACATGTCTCAAAAATCATCCCAAAACACTTTGATTGGGGACCACTTGAACATGTATCATTCCTCACATGTACCAGAAAAGAAATAAAATAAAATGTCATGCCAACCAACCAAACCAGTTTTTTTCTAACCATGTGACCCGAACCAAAAAAGTTTTTTTTTGGCCGTGTGCACATACAGCTTGGCGGAATTCCTCACAATGAGAAAGGTCCGCACTGGGTGCGTGGTTCTTACTGCATTTGCCTTTTCCTTCCATGTTGGTATTTGTGGGTGTGGTGGTACATGTACATGTACACATTCAAATTGTTGACCTAGAACACAATAGAGGACGACAGGATCCACAAATGACCGAAGGTTCACTTTTGAGGTGTGTGTATAAAACATATGGGAGGTCTTCCTAAAAAAAGTTAATCATTCTATCAATCAAAAGAAATGGCTAGGATATACAATTAAATCAATCATTCTTTAAGTATCAATATAATATAAAGATTACAATTCAATTTTAATTTGTCATTTAGACAAGTTTGATGGTGCCCAGCATAGGCCCATTGAACGTGCTGAACGGTACATGTGCATGACAATATAATAACTCTAAATTGGCATTTATGCATATTTACTGATAATATTCCCTCATCAGCTCTCAAATTTGCTCTGTTTGTACATCAACATGAGATTGATTGTACACAATGTGATTTTATGCAAATTATGAGCAACTTTTGATGTAGGCCCTATGAATTATAATACTGTTCAGATCTGTGGACCACAAATACTAGCCTGCACCAATTGAGATTTTCTAGGGGCTTACATTATTTCTTCTTTTCGAAAAACAGTCGATCAGTAATCAAAAGTCATAAATTTTATTATTTATAATCATGGAAAGTTATATGGTTACTCGCATTACACTGGTTACTCGCATTACCGGTTTCTCACATTTCAATTTTTTACACTTCCTTGATGGCATCATGCTTGGTATCAATTTCATTTCTTTTATCAATTCATTATTTGTTACTCAGGGAAGAAGGAAAATATGAAATGGCAAAGACAGAATCAATTTCATTTAGCAACAATATCAAAAACTTGATCTTTTGGTTACTCGCATTACATACCCAAACCAATGCAACAAAATTGCATGCACGCTGCTATACAAGGGGCCATGGTCCAAAATCTGTTATTGTTTTGAGAAGATCTGAAGTCAAACTATCAAAGTAAAATATAGTTTTAATAAGGCTAGTTCTGTGTGAAAAGAACCAACCATTTGACAAACATGAATATTGAAAAGTTTATTTTTTCCAACCAAAGAACACCTTTACTTATGTGAATTTTTTCGCACAAAATATGATAAAGGATTGGCGAAAAACGTTTATATCCTGATCATTACATGTGTTAGCAATAACTTAAAAGTAAAGAACAAGCTCAGGAATGAATTTCATTTTTTTTTGGGGGGGGGGGTTGTGTCTCTGTTTGCTTGGAATCGCCCTGATGAAGTTTGAGCTCAGCTTCAGCTGTATATTTTGAGAAAAACAGCATTCTAGGATCTCGATTTCAAATCAAAAGTTGCTGAATCATGTTATGAATTTGGCCTGAATTCAGCGTCTGAGACACGTTCTCACTGAGCTGATTGCAGCTACACGATGTTTGGGCACCGACCCGACGAATTATAGCAACTGCGCGGGCGTGTGCTTCTAGTCAATGCTCGCGTGCTTCGCCGAATAAAAATACAAACTACCGGTACTAACGGAAATTTCCAATAGTTGATTTCTTCAAAATGACAGCTTGCCAGAAAGAATAATTTCGCAGGGAGTTTAGTGCCTTTACTATCTATCAAACCAAGTATGTTTTTCAACAATAATTATGTCAGTTACTTTTTGGATAGCTGCAAATGATGGACTGTAGCTTTAACTTCATGAAAACAAAGGAATGTCCACAGTACATAAATGCTAGTGTGTGTGCGTGCATGTGATCTGATACACTGTGCCCTCTGGAGACGTGCACGCAATAGGGAACAAAAGATTGTATACGTCTCCAAAGGGCAATTTCTATAGATGAATACGTCTTCACAAGATTTTCACGAAATAGATATACAAATTTCAGTATGTGTGTACAAGCAATCAGTTTTCCCACCATAACTTGAGAACGACTTGATATGTCAACTTCAAGCTTGGTATGTGGGCTGGTCTTGGTGTCATCCTGAAGCCTTTTGATTTTGAGCCTCATAGTCAAAGGTCAAGGCCATTTTGGCTAACAGTAAAAATGATTTTCCCACCATAAATTCAGAAGGGCTTGTATGGAAGCTTGAATCAACTTCCTCGATAACGCGTTACCATGTTCATTTATCACAGAAACACAGAATTCAAAGATAATACCTTTCTTTGAAAATGCGTTACTGTGATAATTTATCAGACAAGCACGGAATTCAAAGATAATGCCTTACTTGATAACGCGTTACTGTGATAATTTATCACAGAAGTGCGGAATTCAAAGATAATGCCTTACTTGATAACGCGATACTGTGATAGTTTATCACAGAAATGCAGAATTCAAAGATAAAGTAACTAGTAAACATGGAATTCCATTGTTACCTATCGCAATTTATTGGCAAATGATCTCAGAAACATACGGAAGCTCGTTCGTTCCAGGTTGTGAAAGAGAAAAAAATATTTTTATTGCAAAATAATGCAATATAGTTTTGCAAAATAACCAACAGTTTTGCGAAATAACGCAATACTTTTGTGTGCAAAGTTCACCTTTGGTGTTCAGCATGGCCCAAATTATATGCAGTAATTAAAAGTGCCTCTCTGTCCGACGCGTTTTTTCTCCATTGCCCTGGGGCTATTTTGGCATGATTTGACTAAGGCTAGTGGGGATTGCTGAAAACAAGTTTGTTTGATCGATCTGATCTTTAGAAAAAGTTGACATTTAGAGGAACATTCTGTGACATTCTTGCTGGAGGATTAACGGATTTTAAGTGATATAATATCTTTCCACAGCCCCCAGTATTGAATCATGGGTACTCTGTTTTTGTTTTTTTATACACAGCAAACACAAAATGAGCATACAGCACGAGCGTGTGCTGACAGAAGATAATGATTCCCTGCGTCTAGGTCTAAGTGTTTCATGATTATTATGAGCCTTTATGACCGATCCATTCAGTTTCATTTGGAAATAAAATGCTGCCTTCCCTCAAGAATCACTTTTGAAACCATATATTTATATAAATTAGAAAAATGTTTTGTTTTTTTTACGAACCTGAACGATATTTTTTCAAGTTTTGTAAAGAAGCTGTACTTTTTATTCCTCATTTATTTTTAAAGACATGCTGTTATGGGGCATTATTGGGATTGTTGAGATTATTGTGGTGGTTAACCACCATCCTCCGTCTGACCGAAGATATTTTGTTCAGATATTAAGCTGGAAACAGAAAAATCCAACTGTTCCCTAAGACTCCTGAAAAAAAAAAAAATGTTCGTCATACAATCTCTATATTCATATTGCTTCTTAATTTTCTCTGAACGTGTTGACTGAAATACCCTCTGCTAACCCCCTTTGAAAAAGCAGGATCCGCCATTCACTCGAGTAGGCTTTTATACACCGCAAAAACCTTGTCCATCACAATATATGACGTGAGAATTTGCCGGAATAGACAAATAAAGGTTCTATAATTAAGAAACAATGCGTTCCTTTATTTTATTCACAAAACCACTAAATTTCATTTCGGAATGACTTAATTGCGTTATTTCGCCCCCAAAAAATTACAATAAATTCTCTCGTTTCCGAGATAGGTCATGGTAAAATTCCATGTTTACTAGTTACTTTATCTTTGAAATCCGTCTTAAATGTGTGTATTAGTGTCAACAAAACATTTATATCTATGTGTTTATGCAAAGAATGATAATCCTAAATACCAAAATTTAATTCATTAGAAATGTTGGTGAGAAGATGTTTTTTATATCTTTTTGGTTACTCACGTTACATCTAGAAATAAGGTTATGATTGAAATGTCTCTAATTGCTTGAATAGCAATCAAGGTTTAAACTTTACCAAATTTGTTGAGTTCTTTGTAGTAACAAAAATATTTTATTCACTTTACGACACAATTTGTGAAAAAAAATGTTTGATAAAATTGGGCTGTCTTTGTTAATTTCTCATATACTTAAATGTATAATCTGTAATAAAAATGTGAAACTGGGTTAAAAAATAAAACTTTGTTTTTCTTAGCCATGTTCATCAAACCATGGAATTGCCCCTATTGATTTTGGACACCATAGGTCAAAGGTCAAGGTGATTGTGGTTAAAGCAATAGAAATGGTTTTCCCACCATAACTTGCACTTTCCTTTCATGCATGTTTGTTATATTCACAAATTATTTTTGTTTAAATGGGTATTACTATGTCTCGGTTGTATGTATTTTGCCATCCCTTATTGCAGGACAGTGCACACAATCTGCAATCGTACATGTATTAGTCAAGAAGTGTAATCATCCAGACATGCAACTTTCCTCGGATCAGCTGATTTCCACATCTTTAACTTCAACACTTATGCCATAAAAAATTGTAAAACACTGTACAAAGTCTTGTAAAGATAGGAGTTTTTTTATTTTTGGTTTCTTCCAAGTTACATGCCTGTTTATCTTAGCGGGACATTTGTGTTTGTTCACACATCATTCTTCTTTCCAGATGTGATTGTATTGGCTCTACACGTGTCGTGAAGACTTGACAGTCCTGATCCAGCTTGTGTTGCATTGCAACCGCGCAACACCATTTTTTTTTTGCTTGCCGTTCTGTCATCTTCGCAATGTTTGATGGTTCAAAATAAAAATGGGAGTCAACAAAGGGGCGGATACTGAGAAACTTTGCTCTGAATACACGGAAAATTTAGTCTGAAACTGGTTGGAGTTGGAAGTGAACAAACTTACAAATACTGAAATATGATATGTGCACTTTGTATATGAACATGTAGGTACAACTGTACATCTCTGAAAAGAATATCAGTATTCAGTAATAATCATTATCTTTTACTTCTTTTTGATGTAGGCAGTGGTGGCCAATGTTTGTGGTAACATTTTATGTGCTGTCTCCTGTGCCTATGCTTGTGGGGAATCGTATATCCAATATTGACAGCTTAGGAGCAGCAAGTAGTGCTCTACGTGAACTGTGCATTTTCCTTACTACTGGTATTGTGGTTTCTGCATATGGACTACCGTTAGTGTTTGCTCACACCGGTGTGGTAAGATGTTTTTATATTTTTCAAAGAATGATGCATTTGCACAGTCACAAATATGGGTACTCTTTTGTTACAAATGACTAAAAAATTAAATACACATTGAATTAAGGTTAGTCTTCCTGCCTTCAGGGAAAATGTGGCAGAGCTACAGAGTATACCTTGTTACATACAGGACTAGTCAAAGTTAAAGGTACTGCATATCTGTTGTTCATGAAATGGTGTCCTATTTAATGATGATATAGGTGTAACAATGAACAACATGCTGGGGAAAATAATACTTCTGTTCAGACTATGACTTAATTATGAAACAATTCTTGTAAGGACACCAATATGAACAACAATGCGACCCATTGTGAATCCTGTACTTGACAACAACAACGGTTAAGCAGAAACATCTTATACTATTCAATGTTTAGCTGTGTTAACAGAAAAAGTGGAAAATGAGAATGTAAAATTTCTACTTAGTCTTTGAACGAGTTATTTTGAACCTGTTGTTCATAAAAAGGACACCAAAACCGGTGGTGGTTTAAGTGCACTGCCAACTTTGAAGTCGATCAGACTTACCGTTACGAAAATGCCAAAGTGTATAGGTAGAAGAAAAAAAATGCGTGCAAATCCTATACAAAAGAGGCTGAAAAGGAGAAAGAAAACCAGAGGTTTTAGTCCGTAACATACAGAACACAAGGCTTTTTCTGCATCCATTGTTTTTTTCTCTGAAATCCTGAATATGCCTTCTTAACTTTTTTCAAAAATAATTTAGAATTTAGCATGTTGTGAGATATGGCAATAAACTTGAAAACTCCTAAAATCACATGATGTATAATGCATCGATGTTTATGTACATGCAAAGCTTCAACTCAATTGGACTTGTAGTTCTCTAGATATTAGGACTTTAAATAATTCACCTTTAAAATGACGTCACATGATTCAAGATATGTACATGTACATTTATGTAAGGTCATCATGATGCTACTTCTCAATACACAAATTTCAAATGTGGTCTTTGGTCTGTGTCAATTACGTTTGGAGTCTAGGCCTATATGATTAAAGACAGTTTAATTTTGTGAAGAGAATAAAATCTTAAAATTTTAAAAATTCATTACAAATCAACGAATGACGTCACCGCAACGTCACTTCGGATTTTGCATATTACTTACATCATCTAACTTCCCACAAAGTATCATGATTATCAGACCTTCCCTTATACAATGTGTGTGTTAAAAAACAACAACACATTTTTGATGACGTCATATTGACGTCACACATTTATTTGTCTCACTTTTTGTGTGTGTAAATGTTAAATGACCTAACAAACCTATCATACAAAGAATTTTGAATTTAGCATGTTGTGTTCGTCAGATATGGCTATAATCTTCAAAAGTGTATGGGATTTGGGATAGAAGAGTAACAAGAAACTAGATGTGTGTTTGTACCGTAGGTGACAAACACAGGGCTATTTCAGCATTTTTTCAGCGCCTTTAATGTGACGTCACATGACATGATGACGTCATCGAGATTCACTTTAATTTTCATTTATAACACAACGCAGTTTAGGTGCGTACCAAGTCATAACCAAATCAGACAAATGGTTCTGTAGATACAGGCCTTAAAAAAAATCACCTTTAATGTGACGTCATGTGACGTGATGAACCAAAATTGGACTAATAGTTCTGTAGATATATGTAAGCCTTCAAAATATATCAGATTGATGTAAGTGCATGAAAGCAAAACAAGGGTTGTTCTTCAACTTTGCAGAACCCCCCCCCCCCCAAAAAAATGTCTGTTCGATGAACAGAACTGTTTATACTTTGTCCATGTGCAGTCATGTTAATGTTTAATTTCATGTACGAACAAAGTTCCACGATTCACTAGCTGTTTTGCCATACCTGATAGCAGGGGGTGATAATTTGGATGAAAATCAAAATTTTTGAATATGATTGCGCCCACTTCAGAGGCGATTCATTGGGTCATTTTGGGGATATTTTGTATAGTGGGTATCTAGCATGAAAAAAAAAAACCACCCCACCCAAAAAACTATATCTGCACTGCACACACAGTGGACAGTGGGTATTATTGCGAAATGAATGCCCTTTTCCCCATTTTAATCGCTTTGACATAGTTTATATTGAACACACCACTGAAGTCAGTAAGACTTTCATAGATGAGCACATAACTGACAATTTAATATATTAAGAGCATTATTAATGCACTAATATAACTAAATATCACCAACAGTCGGGCCATACATATACATTTTCCTCTTTCTACATCCCATGTCCTAGTAAGAACATTGTCCACCAACGAGTTTGAAAAATTTCTCAGGATTCCAAAAATTACAGAGGATTATCTTCAAGATTTAACGTTCATGATATGGACAGACATTTCATTTTTAAGTGTTGGGAAGCAGTAAATAAAATGCATGAATTATCCCAAATTTGTTCTTAAAGTAAAGCTAATCCATTGAGGAATTGCCACTGGCCAATCTTACATTAAACCTCTACCGGTAGGTATTTTTTTAATTACAGGGATGTACATCTTCAAGTCTTCATACATTTTCATTAACAGGGACAGAAATTTATCACAAATTTGTTGTCCTTGTTGTGAACATGTATCAAGTCGCATTTCAATTTCATAAATAAAATAGGATGCTTTAGTGTTGAATGATACCAATTCTACATTGAATAAGTAATATGAATGGAACAAGAGCTGGATTAATCATAAGAATGAAAGCAGTATGATTCAAGAATGTCCATCCATGTCCGTCTATTCAACTTATAGATAGCATAGTAATTTCATGCATATCCATTGAATTAGCCGACTTAGTTATCAATGCAATCACGAATAATACAGGAATGTCTATAAAATAAATTTAAAAAAAAGCAAAAGACCTGCTATGAAATCCACCTCCCATGTCTCACCAAAGGGGTCAATCGCTTCTCAAAAGTGGGGGGACATACCTTGATCGGAATGCGATCGCAAAGCGCGAAGCCCTAACGGTGTGGGGTCCGCAAAACTTTTTGAATTCTAGACGATCTGTGGTGCTATCTGACACAATTTTTGACAATTTAAACACTTTTTTGTGAGCAAAAGATCATAATTTAAACATTATTTGTTCGAGTTTAAAGTCATTGAATCAGCTTTTCTGAGCTTAATTTGGTTACAATTTTCATTTGGGGACGAAAATATTGGGGGGGGGTAACAAATAATATGATTGTAACAATGAACAACATGCTGGGGAAAATAATACTTCTGTTCAGACTATGACTTAATTATGAAACAATTCTTGTAAGGACACCAATATGAACAACAATGCGACCCATTGTGAATCCTGTACTTGACAACAACGGTGGTTAAGCAGAAACATCTTATACTATTCAATGTTTAGCTGTGTTAACAGAAAAAGTGAAAAATGAGAATTTAAAATTTCTACTTAGTCTTTGAACGAGCTATTTTGAACCTGTTGTTCATAAAAAGGACACCAAAATCATTTTGTGTGGTACTGGACTGGTGTACATACATGCACACTTCACAAGTTCTGGTGAATGATTAAGGTATTTTTTTTTAATTGCCCCTGAAAGTGACCCCCACCCATTCCTCATTTTTTTTTTTTACAAGGTCTTTTTTTTTTGATGGGGGGGGGGGTGTAATACATTGTGTTGGCGCATATTTCATTTTTGTGTGTGTAACATTTCTTATGGAACTTGCATGACAAAAACTTTGTGGACCATCTACCGGTGGTGGTTTAAGTGCACTGCCAACTTTGAAGTCGATCAGACTTACCGTTACGAAAATGCCAAAGTGTATAGGTAGAAGAAAAAAATGCGTGCAAATCCTATACAAAAGAGGCTGAAAAGGAGAAAGAAAACCAGAGGTTTTAGTCCGTAACATACAGAACACAAGGCTTTTTCTGCATCCATTGTTTTTTTCTCTGAAATCCTGAATATGACTTCTTAACTTTTTTCAAAAATAATTTAGAATTTAGCACGTTGTGAGATATGGCAATAAACTTGAAAACTCCTAAAATCACATGATGTATAATGCATCGATGTTTATGTACATGCAAAGCTTCAACTCAATTGGACTTGTAGTTCTCTAGATATAGGACTTTAAATAATTCACCTTTAAAATGACGTCACATGATTCAAGATATGTACATGTACATTTATGTAAGGTCATCATGATGCTACTTCTCAATACACAAATTTCAAATGTGGTCTTTGGTCTGTGTCAATTACGTTTGGAGTCTAGGCCTATATGATTAAAGACAGTTTAATTTTGTGAAGAGAATAAAATCTTAAAATTTTAAAAATTCATTACAAATCAACGAATGACGTCACCGCAACGTCACTTCGGATTTTGCATATTACTTACATCATCTAACTTCCCACAAAGTATCATGATTATCAGACCTTCCCTTATACAATGTGTGTGTTAAAAAACAACAACACATTTTTGATGACGTCATATTGACGTCACACATTTATTTGTCTCACTTTTTGTGTGTGTAAATGTTAAATGACCTAACAAACCTATCATACAAAGAATTTTGAATTTAGCATGTTGTGTTCGTCAGATATGGCTATAATCTTCAAAAGTGTATGGGATTTGGGATAGAAGAATAACAAGAAACTAGATGTGTGTTTGTACCGTAGGTGACAAACACAGGGCTATTTCAGCATTTTTTCAGCGCCTTTAATGTGACGTCACATGACATGATGACGTCATCGAGATTCACTTTAATTTTCATTTATAACACAACGCAGTTTAGGTGCGTACCAAGTCATAACCAAATCAGACAAATGGTTCTGTAGATACAGGCCTTAAAAAAAAATCACCTTTAATGTGACGTCATGTGACGTGATGAACCAAAATTGGACTAATAGTTCTGTAGATATATGTAAGCCTTCAAAATATATCAGATTGATGTAAGTGCATGAAAGCAAAACAAGGGTTGTTCTTCAACTTTGCAGAACCCCCCCCCCAAAAAAATGTCTGTTCGATGA